TGGACTTGAATTAAAATGAGATGGGTTTGGATAAAAAAAAATAAAGTGGACTTAGATTAAAACAAATGGACTTGGGCTTGAATTAAAATAAATGGTCTTGGACTAATGTTAATGGGCTTGGACTTGAATTAAAATGATATGGGCTTGGATTTAAAAATAAAGTGGAATTAGATTAAAACAAATGAACTTGGGCTTGAATTAAAATAAATGGTCTTGGACTAATGTTAATGGGCTTGGACTTGAATTAAAATGAGATGGGCTTGGATTTAAAAATAAAGTAGACTTAGATTAAAACAAATGGACTTGGGCTTGGATTAATGTTAATGGGGTTGGACTTAAATAAAATAAACTTGGTAATGGACTTGGACTAAAATCAAGAGGCTTGATTTTAAAGTAGATGGGCTTAGACTAACGAAAATTGGCTTAGGCTAAAATAAGTGGGCTTAGATAGAAATAAAAAGGATTTTAAAATTCTAAAAAAATTAGACCTTCTTTAATTATTAATGAAACTAATAAACAATATTAATGAGCGGAGATTGTGTTCCCGCTATGAGTACCATGATTGGTATGTGAGCGCCGAGTGAATTCCGAGCGATGGTTGGACCGTGAGTATGGCTTGAGAAGGAAGGGCTGGTATTCGAGTTTGGTTGAATGTGATTAAACATGTCATCACGTGCATCATATGCATTGAGGTGGAAATAAATTGAGAAAAATCATTGAGTCTTGAATTGACACGGTTTGATAACCGAATTGAGTGGATTGGGTAATAGCAAGGAATCCATAGTGCGAGCTCTATTTACTAACACCGTTAAGCGAGGGATAATTCCGCTAACTGTGTGCTACAACGAGGGATAATTCCGTTGCGAGCAGTAGGTGATATTGAGATCACCGAGAGAAAGTAATAGAGCGATAGGTGATAACACGATCACCGAGAGATTGGGCGCACGGACTTGCATATACTTAGGGTACCCGGATTAAAATGGATGAAAATATAGGAAACACAATAGCATCGCATATCACGTGCATCACCCTACTTACCGAGCTTTGGCTCATTCCGTTATTGTATTTGTGTGTTGTTCGGGCAAAGGCAAAGTTAAGCCGATCGAGGATGCTATCGGTTCTCACTAAAAGAGGCTCATGTGTCACTCATAAAAATAGGAATATCTTTTGTGTCATTAAAAAAGGGTATGGGCCTAGGTTGGAAATTTTTAGGCATTTTGAATATGTTATAAATTATAGAACTATCTATAATAATGTTGTAAATTATATCATACGTTTTCCATGGTTTAGTTTACGTCCCAACAATGTGTCGCGCGTCGGTCACGCTTGTTTGGTAATAGGTAAGGGAGCCGAGGGCATCACAAATTAATGTTTAGGAAGGAAAAATTTGCTAAAAATTGAAGAAAATAGGTAATGAAGAAATGTGTTTTTCTTAAAGTCGGAGGGTTACACGGCCTCCCACACGAGTGTGTCCTTGCCCGTGTAATGAAGAAATGTGTTTTTCTTGGAGGCAAAGAGTCACATGTCCTCCCACACGGACGTGTCCTTTCCCGTGTAATGAAGAAATATATTTTTCTTGGAGGCGAGAGAGTTACACGGCCTCCCACATGGGTGTGTCCTTTCCCGTGTAATGAAGAAATATGTTTTCTTAGAGTCGAGAGTTACACGGCCTCCCACACGAGCATGTCCTTTCCCATGTAATGAAGAAATGTGTTTTTTTTAAGTCGGAGGGTTACACGGCCTCCCACACGGTGTGTCCTTGCTCGTGTAATGAAGAAATGTGTTTTTCTTAGAGGCGGAAAGTTATACGACCTCCCACACGGGCGTGTTCTTGCTCATATAATGAAGAAATGTGTTTTTCTTAGAGGCGAGAGTTACACGACCTCCCACACGGGCGTGTCCTTTCCCGTGTAATGAAGAAACATGTTTTTCTTGGAGGTAGAGAGTTACATGACCTCTTACACGGGTGTGTCCTTTCTCATGTAATGAAGAAATATGTTTTTGTTGAAGGCGAGAGAGTTACACGGCCTCTCACACGGGTGTGTCTATGCCCGTTTCATTCACTCGATCACTTAAAAGTCACTTTTTAAGTTCCATATCCTAAATTAGTTCATTCATGCTCAAGATAATATAAAAGGAATGGTTTAGAATAAAAGTGTTCATGAAAATCTAAAGAAAATTTGATTTAGGAAAAATTAGACTTTAGGCCAATTAAAGCCCAAACCAAAATTGGACTACGTAATCAATGGAATAATACTTAATTAGTACCTAATTTGGTAAATCTTATATGCGAAAGGGTAGTTAGAAGCATAAGGGAAATAACGTAGAAATGTTAAGATGTTAAGTAAATCAATGAAACTAAAATGAAATATAATTGTTTACTTACTCTTGTATTATGAGTTTTTTTTTCATTCCAATAATATATGTGATGTCATGATTAATGAATGATGGTTATGCTGGAGTTGTGATTGGTAATGAGAATTGTGGTTATGGTAACCGATGTGCCAATGATGATTGTACTTGCTTTATATGGATTGATGTTATTTATGTCGTTATGCTCGTCCGATTTTACTTGTGTTTTATAACATGGTTACATGACCACTTAGGACATGTACTTGAGTATCGTTGTTAGAATGCATTGTCATTCAAAATGCATATGTATGCCAAAGCTCATGAATAATGTTTTAAGTCATGGAAAGGTATTTTATGCTATGAGTTTTCGATAGCGATCGAAATATTTTAAAGAAAATGATTTTTATGACTTTGAGGATTTTTATGAGGATGAACTTCATGGGTTTTCCATATGGTAATGGTAATGGTTCGGAGCTGGACAAGTACGGACGTGCACTTTTAGAGGCTTGGTAGGGCGCGTTCCTGGATTGGTCGGTTCGCTAGACATATCTTATAGAAACCCTAAATACCTAAATGGGACATGTCCAAAGACGAAAAAAGATTTTTAGACTATTTGTGAAATGGTTTATGACATGAGAAAAAGGGAGTTATTATGCATATATCAATATTTTATACATGCATATACATGCACGTACACTACATGCATACGTTAACTTACTAGGTCGTAGCTCATATAGTTATTTGTGGTGTAGATTAATAAGATACTATGGCTTACTTCTTTACGGAGCCGATTTCGAGGAGTGCACTAGACGGTTATACCTTGGATGGAGCTTCGAGATCTAGGTGGACATACTTAGTTTTGTATGTAAATTAATAACTTGTATGAATCGTGATATTAAAAGTAAAATGATAATGTACCGATAGTAGTGTAGTTTCTTTAAATTGCCCATTGCATGCTAGCATCCTTGAATATTCAAGAGAATTTCTTAATTAATCGTTAAATGAAAAGAATAATAAAAAAATGAAAGAGAATAAGTAATATCATAATAATTGATAATAAGGAACTACATCTCAATGAATTACACTAGTTAGTAAAGAAAGGATTTGAACTAGCAAATAACCTCGAATCCAGTTTCAAGTATCCGAGTAAATCGATCAAACGTGAAAAATTTATAATGTCTTTTAAGTTAAAGTACAGGACCTACCCGGCTAATATTAGATTTTTAAAACATAGATTTCACTTTAGACATAAAGATTAAGTCACGAGTGCCTTGTTAGCTTGCATTCATTGCACTTTGAATGTGGGTTAATGGCGGTAATATTCTCAACCTTTTAGGTTCTAGGTTGGAGGTGTTACGGAAAATTTGGTATTGACTTTTACTTTTGTATCGGTATAAATATGTCTCTATAGTAATGAAATATAAGTTCACTTTCATTTTTTTTTGTCTATCTTTTTCTTCTTTCATACATATATATTAGAAACTTCTTACACCTCTCTTAGTGGCACATAATGGCTTAGGGAAATCAATTAAGCTGCTTTAAACGTGAAGGCCTTTTTTTTATCACTCAAAAGTGTTTAATTATTCTTTCATCAAGTTCATGCAGCAACCTTCAATTTTTTAGCTTCGGTTAAATTTTTTCAAAAAGTAATGAAAATACAGGAAAAGGCGAGTACTCTTGTAACATTGGTAAAGTAAGATAAGAAACATAAGGTTGCCACTTCCAAAGGTAAAGATGTGTTTTCTTGAAATCACTAATTAGTTTCTCTCCTTTTACAGTTTTAACTTTTAGTCTTTTCCATTTAGCAAACCCATTTCCTCATTCCATAAAGACTATTAGGATAAAACAAGGGAAAGGTATGTCAAAGCAAGCCTTTGATGATGCAATCTTATCTCTTTAGGAAGTTGGTTATATTGAGGACGTTATTGAGCCTAGTCCGAAGGTTCCCTTCTATCCTTTAACATTGATTAGGAATTAGATTTTGCATTCAAACCCATAAGATACATCACCTAATTTGAGTAAAGAAAAGAGAAAACATCCGATTGCAAACAACTCGGACTCTAATGATAACAAAACTCCTTTCATTCTTTACTATCCTACTAATAAGAAGGTAATGAATGCCTCTTATTTTTCTTCTATAAGTGGTCATGTTCTTTTGCAATCTATTTATGGTCTTTTATCTTTCATTTATGAAATAATTCTCTTCTCCCTTTACCATGTTTTTCTTTATTCATGTCCTCCTTTATATAAACATCTTGGGGGGGGGGGGAGGGAGGTGTAGGGTGTCAACATGAGTATGTATTACCTTTAAAGATTGTATAGGATTTTAACATATCTTATGTATATTTTACTCGTGAAAGTGAAGATTTTTCAAATCGGTTTTCTATCCTAATTCCTTAAGCTATTCATGCTCCAATGGATATTAGTATGCAAAAAGAGAAATCATTACTCTTTTCCCTATCGCTTTTACAAGTGGAAAAGTGCTTGTAAAGATGCTACGATGATTGATTCTAGAGAAATGAATAAGGATCCATAAGGTGATTCCATTCCAGTTAAGACTATAGAGATTGATATTAAGACCACTAGAAGATGATCCTAACGTAGATGTTTTGGTTAGGGTAGAGATTATAGCTATTTCTCCCTTGCAGTCTTTTCCTATTGGACAAAACATTCTTCACGAAAGCCTCATTCCTACTGCATTGGACTTAGGTATGCCCCATTTCTTTCTTTTCCTATTTGTGAAACTATCTTTTTATTTGTATGTTTTCACAAGTTATTTCAATACTTATAGAGTTTTACATAGATTTACCTCTACTTACACTCCCTTTAATAAATATCTATTCTTTTTTACCTACTTACACTCTAAATTATCAAGGAGAGTAATTGATGTAATGAAGGTCATTTTAGAATCTCTAGAGAGTCCTTTTATAAATTTATAGACTCTATTGATAAATCAAAATGTTAACCTACCTCTTAGTCTCCCCTTGCATAAGTATTACAATCCTTAGGCTCGTTTGTTCTTATTCTACTTAATACTTGCAATCAAAATAAAAGGTAAAAAGCCTCAAAGAAAAAGCTACGAGTTCTTCATGAGAAGTTGAAATATGTTAAAACCATGATCAAAGAGGAAGAAGTTGTTCTTAGTCGATTCCGACAAGATACTTAGAGCTCTATAACTCAAATAAAGGCTTTTATTCCATCTTTTTATAAAACAGTTTTGGTTTCTTTTTTAGATCATGCATCGACTTTTTTGAAGAGCCATTTTTATAAATAAATACAATCAATTTTTTTTTAATTTCATCTTATTTATTTATGTGTAATTTTTTTAATCAAATATTAGGGATTTAGACTCAAACTATTCTTGAAGATCGAGATGCTTTGAGTATCTCTTTGTTGGTCTCTCAAACTTATGGCGCATACTTCTTTAAATATTTTTCATTGATTCTTCTTATGTAGAGTCCTCTACAAAGACTCTAGAGTAGATAGGCGTTTCCAAAATAAGTCCTATAGACTTAAAATGGACCTTTCTATACTAGAGATCATTTCCCTAAATGCCTATCTTTTAACCTTAATTAATGGTAGGACTACCTTCCATACTAGATCCTTAGATTTGAATGTTTTAGATCTAACCCTTTTGTTGTATGCTTTTATGCCATGTTTCTTTTGTACTTGCATATGATTTAAGGCCTCTAACGTACAATTATCTATGTCATCTAACTCTTCTATCATTGTTTTATGATATTGTATCTATATGAATTGATTTTGATATGCTACCTTTAATGACCTTCTAGCAATTTCACATGGTAGCACAACATCGTGCCTACATGTTAAGACATATGGAGTAGTACGAGTTGCTCCTAAGTGTAGTTCTATAAACCCACAAAACTTCTACCAATAATTCATGCCAATCCCTTAGATTATTATTATCTTTTGTAAATTCAATGTAAAAACCTTATTTGTGGACTCGACTTGACCATTCGCTTGAGCATAATATAGAGTAAAATTTATAATTGTGAACCCCATATCTTAGGCAAAGTTTATTATCTTTCTTCCATTAAACACAATGGTTTGATCTATAGTAATTGACTATGGTATATCGGACCTCTAATGATCTTTTTTTTTAATGAATTGAATTACTCCAACATGTGTTAACAATGTAAAAAGCTTAGCTTCTACCTATTTTGTAAAGTAGTTTATTACTACTAAGATGTAAGCATGTTGCTTACTAGAATAGTGGTGTATTTCTCCAATGATGTCCATTATCTAACTCTTGAAGAGCTTTGGTTTTATTCCAAAGTGTAACTCTATAACGAGAACTCTAGGTAAATTTTTATGTTTTTTGCAAGTTTTAGACCTTTTTGCAAGTGCTTTGCAATTTTGCTTTATTTTTTACCGATAAGAACTTGAAAGTTTGCATTCATTATTTAACTAGTAAATAACATAGATTTGCATTTCATAGACCACCTCTATATAAAAGATCTCATGTTCTTGATTTAGTTCATATTGATGTTTGCTATATAACTAACAAATCTCTTAAACTTGTTTTGTACTTTGCTAGTTTTATGATGATTATTTCAAGAAAATTTGAGCCACTTATTTGAAATCCAAATATCTATTTGCTTGATTTCTTCAAGAATTTTCATACCGAAGTTGAAAGAAAAACCGACAAAAAGCTTAAATATATCCGAGTAAACAATGAAAGTGAGTATTAGGATCTATTTAAGAATTATTGTAAGGAACATGGAATTAAACTCAAAATGACAATTCTAAAAATTCCACAACAAAATGAAGTGGAAGAGAGAATGAACATAAATATTATTAAAAGAATTAGATGTATGCTCTCTCGTATAAAACTATCTATGTTCTTTTAGAGTAAGGCAATGGTGAGTATAGCTTTCATTATCAATCTTTATCCATCAATTACTCTTGAATTTAACGTGCCAAAGAAAGTATGAAAAATGAAGGATGTTACTTATGCAAACTTGAAAGTGTTTGGTTACGGGACACTTATACATATTTTTAAAGATAAAATGTCTAAGGTTGATAGCAAGATAAAACAATGTGTTGTCCTAATTTATAGATGATGAGTTTGACTACAAATTGTAGGATCCAAAAGAAAAAAAAATATGAGAACTAGAGATTTTATCTTCTTCGAAGATTAGACTATTGAAAGTTTTAAACATAAGAGAAAGTAGAGTACTCCAGTTCTACTCTTACTAGTTTAGATCCAAGACCTACTCCCTAGTTACCTATGTTGTCTTTTAATCATATAGAAGATTTGGAGAATGATGATAATGGTGATTTTTCTTTTGAGTCATTAGTTGATGATCTTAAGCCAACTAATAATTATAATGGCATTAGATGAGAATCGGATGAGCCACACTCGAAGAAGTTTATTAAATATTGCAAAGCTTGCACCAAATATCCTTCTTATGAGTTTGTGTTGGTTATGATGAGGGAGAGTCCGAATGCTTTGATGAAGCTATGTCATATGAGAAGAAAAAGAAAGGATTAAAATCCTTTCAATATTACATGAAATTATTGCATGAAAACCACATTTTTTAGTAAGTGAAGCTTTCTAAAAGAAATAGAGCTTTCAAGAAAAAATGGTTGCTTAGGTCAAAACTTGAAAAAAAAATTACTCACATCCAAAGTACAAGACAAGATTGCATGTGAATGGTTTTGGTTAGAAAAATGGTATTGATTTTGATGATATTTTTTCACTCGTGATCAAGATATCTTCAATCTAAGTTATGCTTGGTTTAGATGTCGACTTAAATCTAAAGTTGAATAACTTGATGTGAAAATTGTATTTCTCTATAATGACTTAGATAAGGAGATCTATATGGAAGAACTTGAAAGGTTTGAAGTGAAAGGCAAAGAGTAACTAGTTTGTAAGCTGAAACAAATTCCATGTGGGTTGAAGCAAGCTCTAAGATAATTGTATAAGAAGTTTGATTCCCTCATAATGGAACATGGTTATAGTAAAACCACTTCTAACTACGGTTTATTTTAAAGAAATTTATTGATGGCAACTTCATTATTTTCCTACTATATATGAATGCTATGTTGATTGTTGCCCATGATGCTAGAAATATTTAGAGTTTGAAGGGTTGAGCAAGTATTTTACAATGAAATATGTGAGTCCGGTTAAATAAATTCTTATCATGAATATTACTCATGACAGGAAGAATGGAAAACTTTAGTTATCTCGGAAGAGATATGGTTAAAAGTGGTCTTGAAATATTCAATATGAGCAAGTCCAAATCTTTATGTTCTCCACTTTCTATCCACTTTAAGTTAAGTTCTAAACAATATCTTTGAAATGATGAAAAAGGAAATGAGATGAAGAAGGTTTCTTATACATTTATAACCTAGGTAGCTTGATGTATGCTATGTTTTGCATAATGTTGGATATAATTCATGTAGTTAGTGTATTAAGTCGGTTTCTTTTCCAATCATAGTAAACAATATTTGTTACTAGTGAAATGGATACTCATGTATCTCGGAGATACTTTCAATTTTAACCTATGTTTTGATAATGGTAAACCCGTGTTAAATGGATACACATATGTAGGTATGATCTGGTGATGTTGACTCTCGAAAGTCTATATCGGGTTATTTAATGACTTTTGTAAGAGGAGCGGTTTCATGGCGATCAAGGTTATGGAAATGCGTTGCTCTATCCACTATAACGATTGAATGCATTACTCTTACTAAAGGGAGTAAAGAGTTTTTACGGATGAACAAAATTCTTACATGAACCTAGACTAAAGCAAGAGAATTTTGTGCTCGCATTATGATATTTAGAGTGCAATCTATCTCGGTAAATATCTCACTTTTCATTCTCAATCAAAGAATATTGAGATTAGGCACTAATGGATTTAAGATGTTATGGAGATGAAATTATTTATTATTAAGAAGATCCTTACCGACAAAAATGGGCCGGATATTACAACCAAGTTTTTATCGAGGGAGAAAGTTGAGATATGTAAAAGACAAGCGAGCTTGGTGGAGCCTCCCAATTAAGTCGAGAGGAGCAAAATTGTTGGGTTGGGCCTCATATGGGACCCAAAATCCATGTATTAAAAAAACAAAGAAAAGTACAAAATAAACAAAATAAAAAAAAATGAAATAAAAGAAAAGCATAATAGGAAAAGTAGTCATGTAAGTGACAAATTTTAAAAGTCACTTTTTTGCACTTTTAATTCGAGTAAAAACATAAGGCGAGTAATGGCAACAACCAAAAAAAAAAGTGGAAGAAATGGATTTTTTTGGTCGAGAAGAGAAAGAAGAAAAATGTGTTCTTCATTTCTATTGCCTTGATTGAATAATGATTTCAAACCCGATCAAAATAAAATTTTAATAACTTGTTTATGATAGCGAGCTCTTCAATTTGAATAGCACCGATCATTAAGAAACTTCTATCATTGCGTACTTTCTATAAAAATATTTTTGGTGAGATCTAATCCTTCTTTATTGGGTTGTTGAAATCCATCTTTGTGATAATGACTTTGATGTGTTGATGTGTATCTTCTAGTTGAGCCTAGAGAAAAACCTTGTATCTTATTATTTGAGATAGAAAAAAAATTTGAGTCGATTTAGTTCTATGAGTTTTTTTCCCCACACTAGAATTTCTACGGAAAAAATCATATGTTAATTGTGGTTGTGTTTATTTTGTTTTGCATTAATTATTATTGATTGATTGATTTTAATTTTAATCATATAAAAAAAAACTTGTAATTTGTGATTTTGATTCGTAAAAATGCCTTTTTGCAACAAGTTGCTTCTTGGCCGATCACTAGGACATGCTTAGCTCATTTAATCTATTCCATGATCAGCTTACAAGCTTGAGGCAATCGAGGGTGATTATCTTTTTCGTGAAAACAGTTAAGAGACATACGAGTGGGTTAAAAGACATGAAAATAGCAAAGACATGGCGAGCACGAGGGAACCAACATTTTATTTTAGTCCCTTCAAGATAATCTAACCCAAGCTCTGCATTTCAAACTTGTCTGCTAATTAGTTTGATCCATAAAAACGGTAGAAATATAGAATACCTCTTAGTCTCCACTGTAAAAACGAAAAAAAAGTTGGGCCCAAGTCATAGAAATATTTATAGAGAATGAAATTCTCAAGGTGCGATCACATGCCTGCGTGATGACA